AGCACCCTCTGGTGCAATTCTTCACTTTCCCTGCAATGCTTAGCCAGTGCTTGGGAGGTTGAAGGGAGGAATTAATAAATGAATGAATGATGTGGCATCCATCTACCCATGACCTTGGTCATCTTCTTTGGACATGGTCCAGTGTTCCAGTGTCCTCAAAATGTGGTTTCCTGAATTGGATGCAAGGTTCCACAAGTCTGAGCCATCCAGGGTCCAAGGGTTGTCACCTCCAGTCCATAGGACGCTCTGCTTCTGTCTGTATGGCTAAGAGCTGTGTCAGTTTTTTTAGACAGAGCTTTCTGTTCCACTGTTGACTCATCTGGGCTCAGGATCAACACAAAAAGGAAAGAAACTAGGCCCAATGACTTTTTTTAAAAAAGATATTATCTTTTTTGAGAGATAGAGTTACAGACAGAGAGAGGGACAGAGAGAGAGGTCTTCCATCCGCTGGTTCACTCCCCAAATGGCTGTAACGGCCAGAGTTGGGCTGATCCGAAGCCAGGATCCAGGAGCTTCATCCAGGTCTCCCACGTGGGCGCAGGGGCCCAAGCACTTGGGCCGTTTCTACTGTTTTCCCAGGCCACAGCAGAGAGCTGGATCAGAAGAGGAGCAGCCGGGACTCAAACCTGTGCCCATATGAGATGCCGGTGCCACAGGCAGAGGCTTGGCCCACTATGCCACAGTGCTGGCCTCCCAATGATATTTTAAAATGTTTATTGTCATTTCCCTGATATGGCTACAAAAGGGAAAGATTAACATTTTTAAAAAACTATTTAAACTTTATTTGAAAGGCAGAGAGAGAGAGAGACAGATCTTCCATCCACTGGTTCACTTCTCCAGTACCTGAGAAGCTGGGGCTGGGCCAGGCTGAAGCCAGGAGCCCAGAATGCAGCCGAGGTCTCCCACATGGGTGGCAGAGACCCAGCTACCATGAGCCATCACCTGCCTCCCAAGGTCTGTGTCACCAGGAAGCTGGAAATGGGAGCAGAGCCAGGACTCGAACCCAGGCCTCCCAAATGGGGTATGTGCCTCCCAACCCAGTGTCTTCGCTGCTATGCCAAATGCCTGTTCCCATCTCTTATTCTTGGCTCAGACCACTGGCTAGGACCTCGAGGTCACCTGGTAAGCTGTTGAGTACAATTGATAGGAGTAGACATTTCTGTTCTGGATTCAAATTCAAAAGAGACGTGTTCAATATTTTACTGTGAGACCTGAGCCTGGATCAAGGTGTAACTATTTTTAATTAGGCCTCCATCTTGTAACGTGGGCCTGACCAGGCCCTGAACTCTGAGCCAGAAGCTCCTAAAAGTAAATAAATGAACCCCCCTTGTGATAAACTCTCCTAGCAACCGCCAATTAACAGATAACAGAGAAATACCTAGAGTTCCTGGTGTCTTCGCAGGGCAGATGAGGTGACTGATAGCTACCCGAGACCCTGCAGTTTGGCACGTACACCCCAGCAGCTCGGACCCTATGCTTCGGCCAATCAATTCAAAAGGCGTCAACCCCAAAGCCATCCAACCACCTTTAGTAGGTCCGTTCCCGACACTGGATGCACTAATCAATTCTAAGAGATGTCCTTTGAATTTCCCGCGGGTGAGATGATTTGCTAAATGGTACCATGATGTATAGAATGTCTCTGAAAACCCTATAAAAACCCTGTTAACTGAAGGGTCGGGGCTCTCGATTCAGACCTGCTGCGTTGGTGTTGATTGAGAGACCAGGCCCAGACCTGCAATAAAACTCTCGTGTGCTTTACAGCGGTATTGGCTCCTTGGTGGTCTTTGGGGACGACTGAACTGGGCATAACATTACCATCAGAGTGGATGTTAGCAATAGGCATTTTGTTGACCTTAGCAGATGAGGAAGCTCCGTGGGCCTCCACAGACAGGGAGGTCGCTGTGACCTGGGCAGGGCACCTTCCTTCCCGGCCTGGACACTAGGGGCCCTCAGGGTAGCCTCCATTTGCATCTCTGACCCTGGCCTCTTCCTAACGCAGTAGTTGGCAGACTTCTTTCATTTCTGATTTCTGAGCCTGCTGTTATAGCTTCACATTTTGAATAATAAATGTATCTCATTAGTTTTGGTCCAGAATTCATATACTATTGAATTTATTTTTATCCTGTATTGAAAAGTCATTTTAATTTTTCCTTTTATTAAGTTACTTTGATGTGCGCATGCCTGACATACTACCATCAATATAAAATGAATTTCTGGACTTGTCGGCTCCAAACACATGATTTTTCTGAGTTCATCATATGTGTTACAGTGCAATTTATTGAAACATTCTTTTTTGATTTTTGGTTCTTTCCAAGTTTTCCTTTGCTGTTATATATCATGCTACAGCAAGCACCATTATACATAAATACAAATCTTTGCAAATTCCTGGATAAAAGCTGTGAACATTTCAGAGACCTTGATGCATGTTTCTAAATTATTTCCAGAAAAGTTATAATTTTAATCTATTCAAACCATAGGAGATGAGAGTGTTTCATCAGATCTTTTGCTAATGTATTATTTTTTTTAAAAATTTTTCATCAATTTAATAAGTGAAAAATGGCATCCTGTTTAATTTATATTTCCCTTTTACTAGTGATCTAAATTTTTTAATGTATCGACCAATAAGTAGATTATAATTTATGAATAAATCTGTTTATATCCTTTAGCAAAAAAAAAAGTTTTTGGTTGATATTGTGATAAAAAGTATCAACAAAATGCCCACAAAACCCAAATGTCCATCAAAACATTTACACAGCAATGAAAAAGAATGAGTGAGTGCTCTGTCAGTGACATGATGCCTCTGATGGGTGAAACAGTGACCTCAGAGAGCCAAACAGTGTTATCAGGGGAGCTCCGCCCTGTAGTGAACTCTGCCAGCATCCCCAGGGGGAGTGCTGGTTGGGGTCCTGGCTGCTCTGCTTCCGACCCAGCTCCCAGCTCCCTGGGAAAGCTGCAGAGAATGGCCCAAGTCCCTGGGCCCTTGCCACCCACGTGGGAAACCCAGAAGCAGCTCCTGGCTCCTAGCTTCAGCCTGGCCCAGCCCTGGCTGTTTTGGCCATCTGGGGAGTGAACCAGCAGATGGAAGACCTCCCTTTCTCTCTCTCCATCTCTGTCACTCTGCCTTTCAAATAAGTAAGTCAGGCTTTTTCATGAAGCCCTTTGAGCAGCATGCATGCAGCTAATACACTTTAATACAAAATCTAGAGCTGTGCTTTAATGGAACTCTCAGACTTCCCTGTGCTTTGCCTGGAACCATCGTGTTTCTGTTACTAGCGGCTGTTGCCATCAGCTGGCCCGCCTGCCCCTCCAGTTCATCGATGACAGGTTTTGTCCAGTGTCCTTTCTGAGATGCAGTCACACTACATCCATGCGAGTGCACCTCAAACGTTTTTTCTTTTTGCCCATCTCCTATACAATGATTTCTAATGTAAAGACTATCTTTAGTACTAAATCAGTTGTGATCCAAAGGCATTTAAAATGTATATTTTTATTTTTAGTTTTTTTGAAACTTCCATCTTCCATCTGTTGATTCACTCTCCAAATGCTCCCAACAGCCAGGGCTGGGCCAGGCTAAAGCCAGGAGTCTGGACCTCAATCCAAGTCTCCTATGTGGGTGGCAGAGACCCAGAAATTTGAGCCATCACCTGTTGCCTCCCAGTGTCTGCATTAGCAGGAAGCTAGAATTGTGAATGGAACCATGGCTTCCAGTATGGCATGTGTGCATCCTAAGCAGTGTCTTTTTGTTTACTTTTTTTTTAAGATTAATTTTTTATTTATTTGAAAGGCAGTGTTAGCAAGGAGGACACACACACACACAGAGATCTTTGATCCACTGGCTCATTCTCCAAATGGCTGCAATGGCCAGTGCTGGGCCAGGCTGAAGCCAGGAGCCAGAAGCTTCTTCTGAGTCTCTCATTTGGGTGGCAGGGGCCCAAGGACTCTGGCCATCCTCCCCTGCCTTCCCAGGTACATTAGCAGGAAGCTGGATGGGAAGTGGAGTAGCAAGGTCTTGAATGGCGCCCATATGGGATGTCGGCACTGCAGTTGGCAGCTTTATCTGCTGTGCCACAGAGCCGGCCCCATAATGATTATTTTTTACAGTTTTAAAAATATCTCTATCAGTCAAGAGATTTGGTGAGTTTTGTTTTCTATTAAAATCGCAGGATTTGGACTATGCTTTTGTAAACTCCTTCCAGAAATCCTGGTAGCTGCTAGGGGTGCCCAGCTGATGAGTTGGAGAGTCACCCATCCCAGATGGTCCCCTCTGGAGAAAGGGGACAAGAGCAGCTGCAGGCCACTTGTTGGTGAGTTTGTATGGGTCCCTAGAGATTAGGGCCGTGTAGGTCGTCTAATCAGTGATGAGTCGTGGGTTTTTCCAGGGTTGGGCACTGAGCTTCCTGGGGGTGAGATCCCCACCCGCTCCAGTGACGTCACAAATGGGTAAAACCCCATCTGACTTTTATTAACTTTGGCAAATTCCCTACATATATATCTTTTTTTTTTTTTTTTTTTGACAGGCAGAGTGGACAGTGAGAGAGAGAGACAGAGAGAAAGGTCTTCCTTTGCCGTTGGTTCACCCTCCAATGGCCGCCGCGGCCGGCGCGCTGCGGCCGGCACACCGCGCTGATCCGATGGCAGGAGCCAGGTGCTTCTCCTGGTCTCCCATGGGGTGCAGGGCCCAAGGACTTGGGCCATTCTCCACTGCACTCCCAGGCCACATTAGAGAGCTGGCCTGGAAGAGGGGCAACCAGGACAGAATCCGGCGCCCCGACCGGGACTAGAACCCGGTGTGCCGGCGCCGCAAGGCGGAGGATTAGCCTAGTGAGCCGCAGCGCCGGCCTCTACATATATATCTTTTTTATCCAGTTTAGACTTGGCTGCCTGCTGTTTGCAATGGTGAGCCTTCTAAGTATCACAGATAGAAAACTAAGCGTGAGAAATCCTCGAGCGGCAAGCAGTTCAGAGACACAGACATTTAACTTCTTTTTTTTTTTTTTTTCCTCCGTCCTGGGATAGAATGGGCTCCCTCAGCAGCCTCTGAGGCTCAGACATTTCTATCACCACAATTACTTTAGCAAACCTGTCTCCCTTCGCTTCTGCCACATCACACAGAGCCAGTGATGGGGTCTGCACATTTCATCTGAAATCAACCAAGTGAAGTGGATGCTTACTCTGTGCCTAATAAAGGGAGCGATGGAGATTCTGAGAAAACAAAGGCCTTGCCATTGCTGGGGGGTGGGGACGGATTTGAACTCAGATCTCAGTCTTTTCCTCAGATTCTTCCCAAGATCCGTCACCTCCACCCTCACCACCACGCCCCAGTGTGTTTTACACTCCAATTCTCTTTGGTGGAAACTGGCATGAAAACAGATGTTGGATAGTTCCACCTTCTCCTAATCGGGTTTGCCCCGTAACATCCTGTAACAGTCCCAGAGCCACTTTGCACATAGCCCTAATGTTCCCCTGGGTGTGAAAAGTCTTGCATGGAAAAAACCGTGGGATGGCCCAGGATGTGGGAGAGGTGCCCGCTCTTAGTCACAGGTGTGCTTGGCTCTTCAAGGGCTCTGACAAACCCTGTGGGCAATAGCTTAACCTAACCCTACGCTAACGCTAACTTCACTCACCACTCGGTGCTCACTCAGCCCTGATTTGGAGGAACGCTTATCAGCATTTTGGTGAGCAACTGAAAGTTGGAACAGAGTTTAGGAAACACTGATGGAATAGAGCAAACCCTGGGCTTGGCTTCAGAGACACAGGGGGTCTAATTATCTAAGTGCCAGGATAGCAGGGTAAACCACACCAGCAGTCTCTTCCTGCCTCACAGGATGTTACTCAAATTCAAACAAGACACAAGGGCTTGACTGGCTAACAGCTGCTGCCTGCCTGTTCCCTGCCGAACCACTGTGGACATCCATGCTCTTAATTCTCACCACAAGCCTGCGCCGTAGATTCCATCCTTGGGTATGGGAAACGATGCTCCTTACGGTGCTGTGGTCTCCAGGTGGAAAAGCCGGCCTGGGCCCCAGGTGGCCTTGGGCCTGGAGCCTTGACCACTGCCCAGGCCTGCCTCTCTCTGCTCTTGGCACTCCGACAGCAAGCAGAAGCCCTTGGTGTGATTTCCAACCATGTACGCCTTCGGCACTTGAATCTTCTTGTTTCAACCCTGGCCACTAAAGGCCAGAGATAGTTACAGAACGCCTGCACTGCTGGCACAGTAACACACTGGCACATCACAGTGTCCCATCCAGGGAGTAGGCGTGGCTTCAGGACATCCCTCCCGCCGAGTGGGTGCAGCGATGGAGGAGGGAGCCCGGCCAGGTGAACAGCCGTGGCCCGCGGAGAATCTGGGGCCCAGGCTTCCTTCGTGCTCTGGGAGGGCTCTCACCTCTCAGCTGGCTTCTCAAGAACCAGGCTCAGCTGACTACGCTCTGCTGCCTCCTTCCCTCTCTCTTGTCCGTTCTACCTGCCTCGATTTAAAACAGATACTTTAATATTTTAAAGATTTATTTTAAGAGCAGAACAACAGAGAGAGAGAGAGAGAGAGAGAGAGAGAGAGAAAATCTTCCATCTGCTGGTTCACTCCTCAAATGGTCCTGATGGCCAGGGCTGGGCCAGGCTGAAGCCAGGAGTCTGGAACTCCACCTGGGTCTCCCACGTGGGTGCAGGGGCCCAGACGTTCGGGCAACCTCTTCCGCCTTTGCAGGTGCATTAGCAGGGAGCTGGACCAAAAGGGGAGCAGCTGGGACTGGAACCAGTGTCCCAAGATGGGATGCCGGCCTAGCAAGCAGTGGCTTAACCTGCGGACTCCTATCTTTAATATTTTTAGTAGATAAAGTTTATACCGGATCTGCTAATGTGGCTGGAAAAGCAGTAGAAGATGGTTCCAGTGCCTGAGGCTGTGCCACCCATGTGGGAGACCTGGATGGAGTTCCTGGCTCCTGGCTTTGGAACAGGCCCAGCTCTGGCTATTGCAGCTATTTGAGCAGATGGAAGATCTCTCTCTGTCTCTCCCTCTCTCTCTCTCTGTAACTCTGTATTTGCTTTTCAAATAAAATAAATCTTAAAAAAGTTTCTGGGAGCTGGCGCCGTGGCGAGGTAGGTTAATCCTCCACCTGCAGTGCCGGCATCCCGTATGGGTGCCAGTTCTAGTCCCGGCTGCTCCTCTTCCAATCCAGCTCTCTGCTGTGGCCTGGGAAAGCAGTAGAAATGGCCCAAGTGCTTGGACCCCTGCACCCGCATGGGAGACCAGGAAGAAGCTCCTGGCTCCTGGCTCCTGGCTTCGGATCGGCGCAGCTCTAGTCGTTGTGGCCATTTGGCGAGTGAACCAACGGAAGGAAGACCTTTCTCTCTGTCTCTCCCTCTCATTGTCTGTAATTCTCTCTCTCAAATAAATAAATAAAATCTTTTTAAAAAATGTTTCTGTAGGGCAAAAAAATGTCAAACAGTATTGAAGTAGAGAATAAAAATGGTCTCACTCCCAACCCTGACCAGTTTCCCTCCCTAGAGCCGATCACTACTGTAGTGTTCTGTGTTGTGTCTTCCGAGATGTTTCATGCTTAGGGGCGTATACTGATGTGTCACCCATCCACTGCTTTCTTTCAAGTCTCAGAATATGCATACACCTTGTTTGCTTTTGTAAAAATGTATTTGAGAAACAGCTCTCATCCTCTGGTTTACCCCTCACCCTCCGCAATGGCTAGAACTATGCTGGGTGGAGCTGGTAGCTGATAACTCAGTTCTGGGTCCCCCACATTGGAGGCGGGAACCCAGCTGCTCGAGCTGTCCCTGCTGCCTCCCGAGGTCCTCATTAGCTAGAAGCTGGAATCAGGAACTGAACCCACATTCTCCAATGTCAGCCATGGAACCCTCCCCAGCGTCTCAGTAGACCCGACAGCCACGTCAATGTCTCTGATGCAGGCCATCTCCGGCTCTTTCGGCCGCATTTCCTTTCTCATCCAGAACAATTCCGCGTGCTGGCTTCCCCGCTGCATCCTCATGTGCACTGCCTCAGCTGCGTGGCAGTTTATGGAGCGCAGTCCTGGATTAACCTGCATCAGAATCCCTTGTGGGACTGGTTGGCTCTGCACTTTCTGGAGTCCAGCCAGGACTTGGAAGAACTAGAACTTGGGGCAAGCGAGTCCAGGACCTGGCGGTGTTGCCAGCTAGCTCCCAGCAGACGCCCAGTGTGCTGAGGCTTGAGCAGCACGGGCAGGGAGCCAGGTTGACGGGGTCACGTGGTGTTACACATGCTGTCCTGTGGATGGGTAGGGATGCCACCACTGCGAGGCGTTCTACTCAGGACTATGATGTGGCTGCACTGATACTGAGTCCAGTCTCTGGCCAAAGGAGAAAGCAGCTCCCCCTGCTTTGCACGCAGGGCCTTGCCTAGAGGCCAGCATTCTCTTTCCCTTTGGAACACTGAGGGAAAGTTCCAGGCAATGACGTGCACAAGACCTGGTTGTGCAGCTCGCTGGAGGGTCGCTAGATCACACAACCGTGGGCCTTCAAAGTAAGGCACACGGGCTCCTCTGTGCCCCGCCTCCCCCTCCCTGACTCTCGGCTCTGCCACCATCGGCTCCTTCTCTCTGCTTCTGGAATGGTATAAGGGAAGGTGTGTGCGGTGGACTCTGGTGTTTGGCCTCTCTTGCTCAGTGTCACGTCTGTGAATCCACCAGGTTTCTGCATGTCCAGGCTGAGCTTCCCTAAGTCAAAAATCAGACTCCAAAGTCTGAAGCGTTTCGGGCACAGATGGAAAATCCCACCCCGATCTCATGTGATGGATCACAGTGAAAACGCAGGCACCCTAAAAATAGTGTCTAAAATTACCTCCAGGCTATGTGTCTAGGGTGTATGTGAAACATAAATGAATTTCATATTTAGACTTGGGTCCCACCCCCAAGATTCTCATTATGCATATGCAAATACTCCAACCATCTGGATTCTGAAATACTTCTGACCCTAAACATTTTGGGTAAGGGATGCTGTCTTTTTTTCATTGCTGTTAGCAGGGGTCAGCAAACTCTTTGTGTAAAGAGTCAGTTGGTAACATCTTTTTGACTATGCAGGACATGCAGTGTCTATCACCACACTCTGCTCTGTCACTGTGGCTTGAACACAGCAGTAGACAGTCCACAAATGAGAACTCTGGCAGGTTGGCCTCTGGGCTACTGCTGGCTGGGTGGATCCCTGCTGTTCATTATGCCAATGCATCACAGTGTATTGAGTCAGGGGGGTTATTGTCACCCTTGGATACAATTACTAGGCTGCTAAATGACTTGGTGACCATAAGCACTCTGGTGAGGTGGCGGGAATGCTACTATCAGGTCGGGAGAGACACCTGTGCGTGGCTTCAGTGGCTGTCGCCAAAGGCTCTCCAAAGCAGCTGTGCCACTTCCCACCCCGCCAGTGGAGCTGCTTCCTATCAAGAGCAGTGCTGTCCGGATTTCCAGTGACGGCCCCTTGGGCTGGCGGGCGGCGACACCTTGTGTGGTATTCGGCTTGCATTTTCCTGATGACTAATGATGTTGAACACCTTTTCAAATGTTGGCTGCCACCTGCATGTTCTCTTTCATGAAGTACAACATCTTCCAGTATCTCTGGAGACAGAGTTACTTGTCTTTTTCTTGTTGGCATATAAAAGTTTGAGGGCAGGTGTTGTGGTTAAGCCTCTGCTTAGGATGCTTGCATCTCAAATTGGATGCTGGTTTGAGTCCTGGACACTCTGTTTTCCATCCAGATTCCTAACACGCCTGGGAAGGCAGCAGATGATGGCCCAAGGTTGTGGGGCTCTGCCATCCGTGTAGGAGGCCGGGATGGAGTTCTGAGCTCCTGGCTTCAGGCTGGCCAAGCCCTGGCTAATGTGAGCATTTGAAGAGTGAACCAATGGATGCGAAGAATTCTCTTTCTCTCTCTCTCCTCCTGCCTTTCAAATAACTAATATTTTAAAAATGTTGATATATATGTATTTTTGATACAAATCCTTTGTTAGATATAAGCGTGACAAACATGTAGCTTTTGTACTTCATTTTAAAGTGTATTTATTTATTTAAGAGTGAGCGAGGCCGGCGCTGCGGCTCAATAGGCTAATCCTCTGCCTGCGATGCTGGCACACCGGGTTCTAGCCCTAGTTGGGG